TTGCATTTTTCCTTTATTTTGTAACCATTTTTCTTCAATAAGAAAGGATTGTTTTTTCACAGTCAAGTGTGGTGGATAGTTATCTTAGGGCCTCGTTTCCTGCTCTGGATTGCAGCAATACCCTCTTCATAAAAACTTGCCACCTGCTCCGATAACCAAGAGTCCACTGTAATCAAAGAAGGGTGACCAAAGCGGTCCTCATCATGGACGTTGTCACGGCCATCTTTGAATTGTCGTACCCACTTACGCACTTTGCTTTCACTCATAACAGTCTCACCGTACACTTCACAAATCTGTCGATGGATTTCTGGAGGAGGCAGGTTCCTTGCTGACAAAAACCGTATCACTGAGCGAACCTCACATGCGGAGGGTGAGTTGAGAGTCTTAAACATTTTTAAAGCACAGAACAGAACCATACAGGTGAGCTACAGAGCGGAAACTGAGCACAGTTGTTCCCGAAGCATGCTAGTACACTATGCACGCGCTCGTTGCGGTATGCGTACGAACTACTAGTATCTACAACAAAACGGACCTTACTTAAAAAATACCCCTCGTTTTGTCTCCTCCCAAAAGTGTTGCTAATACTTGACTGCCTTCCTTCTGCTCCTCCCCGACTCCACAGCCCCTCGTTCTTGCATCATCGACAAAGACGAGTTGAAGGATGGCCTGAGAGTCCTGATCCCCATGGACGACAAGCTGCTCTACGCTGGCCACGTGAAGACCGTCCACTCTCCCGACATGTAAGTCAGAGGGACATGCAGCCTGGGTTGGAAGGGAGGGGAGAACAGCCAGTGCGTGGAATCAATATATCCAAACCTCCAGTACACATCCTGTCTATATAAATAAAAATGTAATGTTCGTTTGTGGGGTTAACATAACTCAAAAACCACTGGGGGAAGTGACACCAAATTTGGACGCAAGACACCTCTCAGGCCAACAAGTGACCATCACTCATAAAAACACTGAAAAATACAGCAGAAGATACTTAAAAAGCCAAAAACAAAAATTACATGACAACGCATGCGCAAAACCACATATGTACACAAAGACATATATACACATATAGAAATATATACACACATATATGTACACACAAAACACATACACATAAAGGGGGAAGGAAGGAGGGAGAGAAAGAAGGAGAGAAGGAAAGAAAGAAA